TTTGACAGAGAGAGACACAGCGAGAGAGGGAACACAAGCAGGGGGAGTGGGAGAGGGAGAAGCAGGCTTCCCGCTGAGCAGGGAGCCCGATTCGGGGCTCGATCCCAGGACCCTGGGATCATGACCTGAGCCAAAGGCAGACGCTTAACAACTGAGCCACCCAGGCACCCAGCAAGATTATTTTTTAATGTTGATGACATTGTAATCTTGTTGATGGTATTTGTTTCCTCTTTTGCTTTTGCTGCTAGGAAGCCCAAAGCTCAATTTTATGGCCTGCTTTTTGCATCAAAACAGAACTTAAGCACTGGACTGAATTTTATAAATAGACTTGAAGCTTCCTTTTCCTTTCACTAAATTTTCCTTAACTTTTCAATTTCCTTATATGACATATATTCCTAAAACCATTTGCTATATCATTTGGAATGTGGTAAGGCAAAAATTCATTCCTTTATTCATTGTGTATTTAAAACCTGAATTCATCAATAAGATGTTATTTTGACCTTTGGTATTTGTCTTGATGCTGATAAATAATGAGGGTTTTTTCAAATTCCTGTAAAATATTACCATCTACACTGGATAGAATGACTAGGAAGGTCCTCTTCTTTCCATCCCCCCAAGCCCCCCCACACACACACACAGAGGAAGAAGCGTATTAATAAAAATCTGATTTTTAAACTGTAGACAGTCTTAATATCACAAGGCTGTGCTATGATGAGCTGTTTCCAGAACAATTTAAGAGCAACTATTTTTGATTGTGTAATTCCTGCATCATTCACTAACCTGGTCTTTGATGCATTTAGACAGTCTGAACACAGTAGTTTATTTGAAAGAAAATAAAAGTAAGGAAACTTCCAGGGAGTGCTCCTGATTGATACAGAGTTAACCTAGTGATCTCTGCAATATTTATGGCAAGAATGATGATTTAAAGGAACAGAAAGACCTGCATTCATAAGAACAAAATTAAATGTTGTCTCCTGTGCAGTATATTAACTAAGGCAGGAAAATGATCTATTAGGCCTAGTGAGTTTTCAACAATTTTATGAAGAGGGAGGCATTTTTGCTTAGAGCTCAGTATCAACCAAAAGACCAAACTCTTGATGCTGGTGTAGTTTTTACTGTTACATTAGTAATTAGTCTTGGCTGTTAGTATGGTAAGTCCAAGAAGATACTTTGTTCTAGTCTCCTATTTGCTGGTAAGCGGGGAGGTAAGCTAATGTTTCTGTTTCCGAATCTTAGAGAAGACCATATAGGTTAATGTTAATCAAAATACTTTCAGTAATCTAGTTTAGTCAATTTATAAGGATGAAGCAAGAAGCAGCTTCATCTTGCCCAGTTGTTAACCTTCTCACCCTCATATTTCCTGTCTCACATCCATCCCTAAGAGCTCTGCCCTCTCGTAAGAGCCCTCTGGATCTTTACATTTGAATCATGTTTAGCCTGAAAGCATTGGGAAGAAGTGAAACCAAGTCATTGATTTGCATTTGCAGTGTAACTAAAATAATCCTTAAAAATTCTTGTTGAGGTAATAAATGCTTGTTAACTGTTTTTCTCCTAGACATGGGTCACCTGCAGGTAGATTACAGAGATAACAACAGGCTGCATCCGGGCGAAGATTCTTCACTGGACTCCATTGCCTCGGTTGTGGTTCCCATAATAATCGGCCTCTCTATTATAATAGCATTCCTATTCATCAATCAGAAGAAACAGTGGATACCACTGCTTTGCTGGTATCGAACACCAACTAAGGTATTGTCCTGAAAAAGTTTGTCTCTTGAGTGACCGAACTAGGAAAGCTTGCGTGCTTACATTTCCTTAAATTGCTTGATGTTTTTTATATTAGCCAGTGAAAATTTTGCTTTGGTCTTCATGGGCTCAAGCGCACAGCAAGCTGTAGCCATCCACTACAGAGTACTTGCCTGGGGCTGGAGCAATCAATGGACGAATTACCCATCATCCACTGGTTAATGAATCCTGACCTTCCACACAGCCAATGTCCTGGATTTAAAGTTTTCAAAAAAAAAAAAAAACTTCTGGATTCATTGTTTATATTAGAAATTAAAACCTGAATTTCTCAGTGATCTATCAGCTTAGAATTGGGAAAGAAACCTAGAAAGAGGGCGCCAGCACTTGGGTGAGAGCCACAAGACCGCTCGAGCGTCCTGAGCATATACAGAACTCCAAAGGACAGGGAGACGTATCCAGGGCAAGCACCGGGGGACAGGTGGCAGAAGATCCTGAAGAGACTGTAAAGTAACACTAGACCAGGCAGAAAGGGGCACATTTCACTACTGAGAAAGGACGAATATGTATTTGTCAAATCAGCCTATCTTAAAAGCCAAGAAAATTCATTTTCATTAAAGGGAAAAGTCAATGACTTTTTCCAACCCTGAGTCTACTTTTTACATTTAGTCTTTTTTCTTTAAGAAAAAATCATATACCCTTAAGAACTTGAAAACCGCTTGAATAATTATTTTAATCCAGTTTACCACCTAGATAACTCTTCCAAATAAAATTTCTGTCAGATGCTTATCTGGCCTCTGATTTTCTTTTAAGAAATACACTTTGGGCACCTGCGGGCTCAGGACACGGGGCTGGGCAAGACCCAGTCCCCACAGCGAAAAGCTGGGAAAAGAGACCAGTTCATAACGTGCATGAAGTGGCTGGCTACAGACAGGGGCTGGCTGTGTGATTTAACATTGTCTGTTTCTCTTAAAATCTGCCTGTCTGGTGACTCCCACTTCTTCAACCCTTGTAAGTGCTAGCCTGCAATGTCAAGGATTTGAAAATAGTTCAGTGGTTTCACCATTCTCTTTTTTCAGTTCCTTCATCCACTCCATTTGACATAATTTATTGACAGTTCGCTTTTAAACCGTTTTGTCAGGCAGGATCCCTTACAAAACTACTGCTGGTGCTAGAACAGGGTGTAGGCTCCACATCCAGTCTGCCCGTCCGTGTCCTGCAAAGCTATCACCTCACTTGAGTCGGGACTAAATTTGTTAACTTAGGATACATAAAACAGCTAATTCTTTGTGGTTTTTCCTCCTCTCATTAAATAGCCTTCTTCCTTAAATAATCAGCTGGTGTCTGTGGACTGCAAGAAAGGAAGCAGAGTCCCCGTGGACAGTTCACAGAGAATGCTAAGAATTGCTGAGCCGGACGCGAGATTCAGTGGCTTCTACAGCATGCAAAAACAGAACCACCTACAGGCAGATAATTTCTACCAGACAGTGTGAAGAAAGGCGACGTCGATGAGGCTTTGAAAGACAGAAAACGACTAAATCTGCTTTTAAAAGTAAACTAGAATTTGTGCACTTGCTTAGTGGATCGTTTTGGATTGTGAGTTGATGTACAGCGCTGAGAACTTACCGGGATGGGCTCTTGTCTACAGCAGTGTGCAGAACAAGCATTCCCACTTTCCTCAAGATAACTGACCAAGTGTTTTCTTAGAACCAAAGTTTTTAAAGTTGCTAAGATATATTTGCTTGTAATATAGCTGTAGAGATACTTGGGGGCGGGGACAGTTGAGTTTGGTTGGGGAGATGGGTTGGGAGGGTGGTGTTGGGAAGGCAAATTGGTCAGCTGGGCTCGGGGATGGGGGAGAAATCCTGTTCAAATAAAAGCAGTTGAGTGGCCCAGAGGAGCTTTTTTTCCTTGAAGACTGCACTGGTTGCTTCAAAGCTCGGGCCCGAGTGAGCGGGAAAACAAAGGCCTTGCGACCCGGCTGCTATCATAGCCACCTTAGGACTGCAGATGAGCGCACCAGCACCTGGCGCTAGCCATCCCCGCGCTAAAGCCACGAGTTTCTTGTCTATACGGTCCCGCTGCGGTGGGCGGTGAGGAAGCAGGAGAGATGCGCTGCGGCATTTCTCCGACGCGGGTTGTTAAGGAGATAGACAGTTATACTTTTTGCTGCTTTTGTTCTCTTCCAAGCCAATCAGCCAGTTCCTAGCAGAGTCAGCAGGTGAACAAGACCTAAGTCATTTCTTGATGTGAGCACTGGAGCTTTTCTTACCACCACGTGGCAGGAAGGAGGCAGAGGGCGAAAGACACCAGGTATTTCCAGGGGCTGTACTTCATTGTCTGTCGTGGCTTTGTTCTCTTGTTGGGTGTTCATAGTTTTTGTTGAAGCTCTAGCTTAAGAAGAAACTTTTTTAAAAAAGGACTGTTTGGGGATTTTTTTTTCCTTATTCTATACTGATTCTACAAAATAGAAACTACTTCATTTTAATTGTATATTATTCAAGCACCTTTGTTGAAGCTCAAAAAAAAATATGCCTCCTTAAACTTTAGCAATTATAGGAATATTTATGTAACTCTTATGCTTCAAAAAAACAAAAGTATTTGTGTGCGTGTGTATATAATATATATGCATATATATTTATACACATACAATTTATGTTTTCCTGTTGAATGTATTTTTATGAGATTTTAACCAGAACAAAGACAAACAGGCATTCCATATCAATGCTTTTGATCACTTACAAATTTTTAAGAAGACAAAATTTCATTCTACCTGCAGTTTAATTGGGAAGAAAGATGTGTGTGGTGAGTGTGTGAGCGTGTGAGGGTGTGTCTGCTCACGCCTTGTGCATCAGCATCACACCTGCTGTGGAGAAGGTATTCCTTTATTAAAATCTTCTTCCTCATTTGGATATGCTCTCTGTTGGTTTTCAATTTGCTCACTGGCCAGAAACATTGATGGCAGTTTATCTGCATCACTAATCAGCTCCTGGATTTTTTTTTTTCTTTTCTTCAAACAACTGTTTGAAACAACTACTGGAATATTGTCCATAATAAGCTGGAAGTTTGTTGTAGTTTGCCTCAAATATAACTGACTGTATACTATAGTGTTAACTTTTCAAACAGCTCTTAGCACTTTTATACTAATTACCCATTTGTGCATTGATTTTTCTTTTTAAAATGCTTGTTGTGAAAGACACAGATACCCAGTATGCTTAATGTGAAAAGAAAATGTGTTCTGTTTTGTAAAGGAACTTTCAAGTATTGTTGTAAATACTTGGACAGAGGTTGCTGAACTTTAAAAAAAATTAATTTATTATTATAATGACCTAATTTATTAATCTGAAGATTAACCATTTTTTTTTGTCTTAGAATATCAAAAGGAAAAGAAAAAGGTGTTCTAGCTGTTTGCATTCAAAGGAAAAAAAAGATTTATTATCAAGGGGCAATATTTTTATCTATTTCCAAAATAAATTTGTTAATGATACGATGTTACCAAAATAGATTTACATCAGCCTGATTAGTATAAAATTTTGTCGACAATTAATCCATTCCTGGCATAAAAAATCTCTATCAAAAAAAAATTGTAAATGCTTGCTTTTTGTTTTTTTCAATCATGGCCGTATTATGAAAATACTAACAGGATATAGGACGAGGTGTAAATTTTTTTATTATTATTTTAAAGATATGATTTATCCTGAGTGCTGTATCTATTACTCTTTTACTTTGGTTCCTGTTGTGCTCTTGTAAAAGAAAAACAAATATAATTTCCTGAAGAATAAAATAAATAGATATATGGCACTTGGAGTGCACTGGGGTTCTACGGTTTGTTTTGTTTTCCTCAAACCACGAAGCCATGAGGGAATTATTTGCAACTGGGTTCTTGGCACTTTGAATCTCAATCACAAAAAGGACTAACAGTCCTTGTGTGTTAAGGTTGTCAGTCTGACCTTCCAGCACCCCCCCACCAGCAGCTCCAGGGCTGCTCTCAGAGGGCAGGCCTCGCCCTGCAAATCCTTGTACAAAATCCTGTCTCGGGGTAGGTGGCACTTTGATGTTGCTCTTAGGGAGACTTAAAACCTACCTGTTGTCAGTCACAAATCAGAAACCTGCGCATCCTCTCCTCAATGGTATCAAAATCCATTCATCATGTGTGCGAGAAGGGTCAAGGCGGGAAACACTGGTAGTTTACCACTGGGGAAGCAAGTTTATCAAACAAAATCAGAGAAATCTCATTATTAGGGGACTGGGAATTGAAAGGAAAAAAAATATTTTCATACACTCCAGAAGCACCTACTTAAGAATGAACTATAGGGTGCCTGGGTGGCTCAGGTGGTTAAGCGACTGCCTTCGGCTCAGGTCATGATCCTGGAGTCCCGGGATCAAGTCCCG